AAAATAAGAGTAGTTACCCATTCCACTTTGGGCACTGTTTATTCTGATTTATATACAGCAAAATGTGGATGCCATCAATTAAGAAATATGCACTCCTATTGTTTTTATTCAATGAAGTCAACAGTTTATAAATTATACCTTAATGCATCATCAGTTGAAGTCAAAGTAAGGGATGAATACTGAGTTTGAAACAAGCACAAATTGTGTTGAAACACATTATAGATTATAGCCTTTTTATGCTGTCCGCTGTTGCTGGGGGAGCAATGAAGTCTTTTTGTGGTATCTGGAGACTGTTAGGGTCTGGATGGAAAAAAACAAACTAAGACTGAATCCTACAGGATAGAGGTACTGCTTGTGCAGAAATAATTTGACAGTTCATATGCTGTAGCAATAATTCAAAATGAGGAGGCACTTCCTGAAGGAGAGATCTGTAACTTGGGGATCTGACAAGGCTCACAGCTACTGCTAGATAGACAGGTGAAGGCTCTCTCTAGTGGGGCCTTTGCCTAGCCTCAACTAGTGTGCCAGTTACAGTTCTTCCTGGAACATGATGCCTTGATAATGGTTACTGACATTCTGATAATCTTTCAGGTTGACTACTTCAATGTAATTCAAAATGGGGCTGCCTTCAAAAATTACCAGAAAGCTGCAATTGTTGCAGAATGTGACAAGCTACTTACTGGTGGGTGGTAGCAGTCAGTGCCACATCACACTGCTTTTGCAGGCACTGCACTGGCCTCCAATAGGCTTCTAAGTACAATTCAAAATGTTAGTTTTAACTTAACCTGTAGAGATCTTTAGGGCATGATAACTAGGTATCTGCAGGATTTCTTGCTTCATGTAGAAGTGAGCCCTTGAGTTTGTTCATCCCAGAGGGGTCTGTTGAGAATCCCCCCTGAAATAGGAGGAGGGGGCTGCAGTATGATTTTCAAATTATGCCCATATCAGTACTTACTTTTAGAGATCCACATGTGTGATGGAATGGAATTATGAAGGCCAGACTCAGGGAGAAAAACATTTTCTTTCATCTCCTGAGGTGCGAGGGAGAGATGGGAAGATTGATGTCAGGCCTAGCCCAAGGAACTCCA